ATAGATAGATAGATAGATAGATAGATAGATAGATAGATAGATAGATAAGGACCAACAAGATAGGGCTTAACAGGGGCTTTTACCACCAAGGCTAATGACTGAGCTCAGTCCCTACAATCCCCATGGTGGAAGGAAAAAATCAACTCTCAAAAGTTATCCTCTGACTTCCACACACTCCCTGTGGTTCTTACTCCCACCCAACCACATGTAAACACACACACTAAATGTAAGAGCAGGAGAGTTGGCTCAGCAGTTAGGGCACTTACGGCTCTTACAAAAGGTTGGGTTTCGGCTCTCAGCACTCACAGTTGGGAGGCTCACAAGTGCTATCAGTCCAGTTCCAGGGAACCTGACACTCTCTTCTGGCATCTACAGGCATGCATGTGGTGCTCACATAAGGAAATCTAAATGGAGGCTAGAGAGATGGCTCAGCAGACAAGAGCAAGAGGACCCACATTTGTCTGTAACTCCAGTTCCAGGGTATCCGACACCCTCACACAGACATACACACAAGCACAACACCAATTTACATAAAATAAATAAATAAATGTTTTTAGAAAAAGAAAATATAAGTAAATCTTAAAACAAATAAATAAAATCTAATAATGTGGGTATTTGTATAATAAACATAAAAATTTGTGAGTAGTTTTCCTCTCTAAAGTTCATCAAAAAAAAGTATGGAGAAAGAGCAGAATGTTTTCCATTGTTGTTTTTGTTATTATTTTGAGACAGCCTCTCTGTAGCCCAGGACGGGCTCAAATGCAATGCAATCCCGCCCCCCCTTCCCCCTCCCCGCCTCTGAGTGCTGGGACTGCAAACATGCACTCTCATGCCCACCTGGGGGAGGAAGATTTCAAAAGTCTCTCTGTTTGGGATGCCTGCCTGTCTACCTTGGTCCTTACCAAGTTGTGGCTGGGTCTTTCTCCTCCCCCAACCCCAGACTGGAAGTCTTCAGGAACCAGACCCAGTTTTCTGTGAGGCCTCAGGGAAGGGTGAAGGGCAAGAGAAACAGGTGAGAAAGGAAAGAAAAAAGAAACGAGGCAGAAAAGGGAACGAAAGGTAAGAACTGGCTCAGAGCAAGTCCTGGGAATGGAGGGAAAGACACAAGTAGGTGGAAAGAACTGTAAGTTCAGATCTCTGGCCTTCTAGGGACTGTAGAATTCATCTCAAGCATGCTACTGACCCAGCCCTGACTCTCAGTCCTGCCTAGTCCCGATCCCAGCCAGGCCTAACCCAGACCTTCACTAACCCAGCCTCACCCTGTCCTACCCAATCCAGACTATGTCTGGTCCCACTGGCCTAGCCCTAACACCCAGGTCACTCACGAAGCTCTATGGTGGAGTCTGAGGCCATGGCCAACTGCAGCCTCTTGGAACCCCTCCAACTGTCATAGAACCCACCCAACCCCCATCTGCTGCCCAGCCCAAATTCTTGAGTGCTGTCTTGGGACAGAGAGACAGAGCGTAGGAATCACAGACAGAAGGACACATAACCTTAGAGTCAGAGCTCAGGTATCCAGGAGGCCAAGAAAGCAGAGGAAGCAGAGGCTGAAGCAAAGTGAGTACATTCAGGCACTAGCCCCATCCAGCCTTTCCACATGGACCAGAACTCCTCTGGTCTCCAGAGCAAGGAGACAGCAGCTCCCCACAGCTTACAAAATGAAACTCAAGACTCTATGAAAGTGACTTCGAGCCTCCCAGATGCCACCCAAGGTCACCAAGTCGACATTCAAGCACCTGTGCCCATTATCCACACTCGGGGACGCAGCATCCAAGAACCGTCAGTATTCACACCTATGATCCGAAGGGTCAGCATCCAAGAACCACCAGCGTCTATGTTTCTTCCTCACAAGTTCAGCACCCAGATTTCTTCCTCACCCATCATTCTCCCAAGAAGGATCAGTACTCCTGAGAGCTTTTCTCAAAGTATCCAGTCCAATACACAAGACATACAATCTGTTGCCTACAATCGCTGGCTCAGCTCCAGAGCGTCCACTTCCTTTTACTGTCCTCGCAGACTCGACGTCCTAAGCTCTCATACACTGTGCAGTGTCCAGTCAGTAATCCAGAACTTCCAAACCGACACTGAGAGCCATCCTTCTCTGATCCATTCACAAAATCTCAACAGAAAACGAACCCGACCCAGTGTGGATGTCCCCACGTCCCTAACCTACAGCCCAGAGGCCAGCATCAGAAGCTTTGAGTCCTTTATCTGGGAGTCTACGGAGAGTCTGAAGGAGCTTTCACATGACTCTCTGTCCAATCCGAGTAGTCTAAGCAGCAGACACAAGCTGCCAAGCACTTCTACTGAAATAACCCTTAGCAGGTGAGTGGAGGTGGAATGCAGAGGGAGCCACGTTCAGGCCTGGAGTTCTACAACTGTATTTGAAACTGGAGTTGGAGCAGCAGTTAGAGGGGTGCCTAGGTGAAAACATCAGGGATTTGGGCAAGTGCAAGGCGGATGTATTCTGGTGTTTGGTTCTGTTGAGATATGGTGTCTCTAAATAGAGCAGGCTGGCCTTGAACAAAGAGATCCTCCTGCCTCTGTCTTCTGTGCTGAGATTAAAGGCGTATGCCACTATGCCTGGCTTCTCAGACTGAGATCTGAAGAAGGGTTTTGGGGTGGTTGGGCAGGGTGGATAGACTTCCTGCTGATGCTGGTCACATGATCTGTCACAGCCTTCAGCGCAGACGCTGGTCACTGTTTCCCATGGGCTGGAGGCTGTTGCTCGAAGCCAAGAAGATCAGCAGGTACCTTAGCCTGGTGCTGACTGTGGCCGGCATGGTGATGCTCACCTCCATTGCCTTGTGGCAGCCCTGGATCCACTTCCAAGTGCCTCTAGTGGCCCCAGGGGACCCCACTGGCCCCAAGACCATCCCCATTGATACCATCTTTTTCATGCGCTGCCCTGACATCTCCTGCATGAATGAATACGATAAGAATGCTTGTAAGTTTGGCCCTGCCCTCACCCCTCCAGGGAATCAGGTCTCCTTTTTGTCCCCAAGAACTTCAAAAATAGTTCTCCCCTTAGGCTGCTCTTTGATACCCACACAATGTCTCCGAGAACCTGATGTCACTGGCCAAAAAGTGTATCTCCCAGGCCAGATCTGATGCATCCACTGCCCATGCTTTTAGAGCTCAGTGTTGGCTTGTGTGTGCAGATGAGGGTGCACCTGTGTGCATGCGGAGGCCAGAAGACAACTTCAGGTGTCTTTCCTCAGGAACCATCTTAGTGGGGGTTTCATTTCCTGTGATAAAACACTATGGCCAAAAGCAACCTGGGGAGGAAAGGGTTTGTTTTACCTTCAGCAAATCAGCCTCAGTAGCAGCAAAGCAAAGGTTTCATTGTCCTGGTTCTTAATTCAATCCTGGGTAGGTTACAACCACCTGTAACTCCATTTGCAGGTAATTTGATGCCCTCCTCTGGCCTCTAGTTGTGTGTGTGTGTGCATGTGTGCGCTCTGTTTGTGCTTGTATGTGTGCTCCTGTGGAGGCCAGATGCTGAGCCATCTCCTCAGATACTTCCCCAACTTTCTGCCTTATTTTTTAAAGATTTATTTATTGAAGACATGTTCTCAATATGTAGACCAAGCTGGCCTCAAACCCACAGCGATCTGTTTTCTTCTGTTTCCCAAGAGCTGAGATTAGAGGCATGCACCACCATGACCATCTATTTTAAAATTTTTATTTATGTGTCTATGTGTGGGCATGTACATTAGTGAAAGTGATCACAGAGGCCAGAAGAAGCCATCACATTCTGAAACTAGAGTTACAGGTGATTATAAGCCACCTTATAAGTGTGGGTGCAGGAATTGAACTGAGGTCCTCCAGGAGAACAGCAAGCACAGCTAACTGCTGAGCCATCTCCTCAGCACAGGCCTGGTGCTCTTGACTCTCTTTTCCTAGACTTGCTGGACCTGGCTTGGGCCTGCCTCCTTGTCTCCGGCATCACGAGCTTCTGTGTGTGCATGGGTCTCATCAGCACTATATTCTTCCCCGGCACCAACCTGCCCTTGATGGACTTCTCTCTCTTCATCTGCAGCCTCACGACAGGCATGTTATGATGCTTCCCATGGGTGCCCATCACAAAGGCCAGCTCCATCCGCACTCTACCCAGCCCAGCCCAGCCTCATCTTCACCGTCAGCCCCATGCCTACCTCCTTACAAATCTTCAGCTATCCTCATCTCTAACTCCCATCTCACCCTCAGTCCCAATCCAACCCTACCCTCCTAACCTCACCTCCTTCTCAGTCCACACTCCAACCTACCAGCCGTAAAGTTCCCCGTGAAATTCATCCCAAAGTTTCAGTCAGATAATTCTATTCATTTAACTGAACAGAAAACACTTCTTATGTTGTTTTCAATAACTCAAAAATATAGCCCACTCTGAAAAAGTTTTTCCCCCTTTTCACAAATTATCTGCAATCCCTGTCTATTCAAATTACTGAAAATGACTGAATTATTTCTGTGTGGCTCCATAATCCCAACATTAAGGTGCCAATAATGAGAATCTGTCACAGTCTTTGAGGTTTACCAGACTACATACCAATCACCACACACCCTCATAATGGTCCTCAAAGATGGGTTGGTGGTTATACCCACTGTAGAGATGAGAATGCTGAGGCTCAGAAACATGAGACTGCTCTGAGGTAAGGAGCAGTGGCAGGTTTATGAGTTTTTGAGTTCCAAAACCTTCCAATGGTACTTCCAGGGTACTGGAAGGGGGCCATGAGTGGAGGTTTAGGGTCTGGAGATCAAAGACACTGGGAGGTAATGTGGCATGTGCTTCCAATCCTACCAGCTGGGAGGCTACAAGTTATTAGCAAGTCCAAGATCAGCCCCAACTACAGAATGAGTCCAATGCTAGCTTCCAGCTATAAAGCAAGCTCTGACCTCAAAATGGCAACACCCAAAAGGAAGGTAGGAAGTGAAGGAGGGAGGGAACATGGAAGAAAAGAAAGTGAGAGAGAAACAGAGGGAAGAAGTACAGGAAGAGGAGAAACGAGAGCTGGGGATGCAGCTCAGTTGGTAGAGCACTTGCCTAGAGTGCATGAAGCCCTGGGTTCCATCCCCAAACTGCACAGCTAAGTATGGTGATACATGTCTGAGGCAGGAAGAGTTCAAGGTCATCCTCAGCTGCACAGGGAGTTGAAAGAAAGCCTCAGCCATGTGACTAAGCCTGTGGGAGGCTTATACCTGATATATGCCACACAGGGACCAGCATCATTCTAGGGGTCCTGTTCTACCTGATGCAAGCACGAAAGTTCCTACAGGAAGGCATGACCTACACGCTGGGGAGCAGTTTCTACTTGGCCTGGATCAATGTCTTCTTATTCTCCATGACTGGTCTGGCTGGGCTCCCGTGTGGCCTCAGTGGTGCACATGGCGCTGTGGGGATTTAGGAGCTGGGGTTGGGTTGCACACAGTGCCAGGGAGGGCAGGACTGGGCTTGGAGCTGGGGCTGGGGGTTCTTGCAGGCTTGGGATGGCTTGGGGACATGAGGTTTGAGTTGATTTGGGGTGTAGGGATGGTGTAGGGCTAGAGTAGGAGAGTGTGAGATACTCAACGAAGGGTAGCCTACTGACCTCTGGTGTGTTCTCTGCCTTCTTTCTCTCAGGTCTCTTCTCCTACCTGAACTACATGAACTTCTGGTCCATCCTGAGACTCCAAGCCATGTGGTCTTAGGACATGACAGTGAACTGAGAAGCATGCTCTCCACCATGAGTTCTATAGCTTCTGACTCCCCATCAACCCAGAGTACTAACTTATATTTTAAAGAAAAATATCTTCTGCCCATATTTCTTTACCTGGCTCTGTATATTGAAAATACTTTGCGGAACTACCATATTTCTTCCATTGTCTCCTACCTTCACCTTGTCCATCTTTGTGTCTTAAGTAGAGGGACAGAAAAAGGACTCAGGTAAAACATCAAAGGCCCACAGAGATAGAGTGAGGGTCCTTGGCATAAACATGGTGGGTTTACTTTGTTTTGTTTTTCACTTTGTGGGATTTGGGGGGGGTGTTTTGAGATAGGGTTTCTCTGTGTAGCCTTGGCTGTTCTAGAATTCCCTCTATAAACCAGGCTGGCACTGAACTCACAGAGATCCTCCTGCTTCTGACTGCAGAGTGCTGGGATTCAAGGTGCATGCCACCCCCTCCTGGCCACATGATGCCTGATGCTTGGTGAACATCATTAAGCTGTTGTTGACTAACTCTATGTCTTGACTTCAACTTTTACTTCTTTTTATTTCTGTTGTTTTTTCTTTGTTTTTGTGTTTGAGACATGGTCTCACTATGTTGCTCAGGTTGGCCTGGAACTCAGAGATGGGCTCACCTTTGCCTCCTGAGTGTGAGTCACTGTTCCTCAGCTACAACCTTTAGTTTTATAATCAGTAACTCACCTTTTTTGAAAAAAAAAAAAAAAAATCTGCTCACATCTTCAATTCATCTCCCATCCTTTCCTGCAGTACCTCCCCTACCCTACCCACACACACACCCTTCCCTTCTTCCCAAAGGCCCTCAACACAAGCCTGCTCAATAGTCTGCTGAATGGGGGAAGGGCTGAAACCCAGGTAAAAATCTCCCATCACTTCCTGCACAGGGCTCTAGAGACTCTGTCACTTACTAGCTCTGTGACTCAGCAAGGTTGACCCACTTGGGACTCAAGTTTCCTTGTTTGTAGAGGCAATGATCTACCACACAGATCCAACCTTTTGACATCACCACATAATATTATCTACAAAGTTCACATCCCAGAAGGGCATCATCAGGGGGCTGGAGAGATAGGATAGTAGTTAAGAGTACTTGCTTGCTTTCCCAGAAGACTGAGTTTAATTCCCAGCACCCATGTTGGGTGGCTCTCAACTGCCTATAACTCCAGTTGTAGGGTCTTCTGGCCTCTGCAGGCACTGCGCCCACACATACACATATACCCCCAATGCACACACTCTCACAAATGAAAACAAAAATAAATTTGAAAAAAAAAAAGAACTGGGCTGGACAGTGGTGGCACAGCCTTTAAAGCCAGCACTTGGGAGGCAGATGCAGGAGGATCTCTGTAAGCTCAAGGCCAGCCGGATCTAAAAAGCAAGTCCAGGATAACCAGGACTACACAGAGAAACCCTGACTAATAAATAAATAAATAGTAAATAATAAAAACTGAACAATTGAGTTATCAAAGAACAAAAAACATCACAATGGATTGGACAGATGACTCAGTTGTTAAGGGCACTTTGTTTTGCAGAGAACCTGGGCTTGATTCCTAAAACTCACAGGGCAGCTCAAACCACCCAAAACTCCAGTTTCAGCACTCTCTCTGATCTTTTTTCCAAAGAAAAAATTAGATGTTTTCTCATGTATTCCAGGATAGTCTGAAACCTACTGTGTAGCCAAGATGCAGCCTAAGTTCTGAATCTCTGGCTGGCATAACAAGTGGGCACAACCAGGCCTGTTTTTCCTAATGCTGGGGTGAACCCAGCACTACCTACATGCTGGCCAGCCACTCTAAACTGAGCCACACCCACAAACAAATGTGTCCATTTTAAAATAAAGATGCACTACAACTATATGCCTTCTACTAGATCCAGAAGTGATCAAATGAACACCATCCAAGTCCTGTGCAGAGCGATGCAAAATATGAGACCATAAGGAAACAGATGAGCAGTGAAGGGATCCATGCTATTGGGGAAAAAGAAAGGAGGTGTCTTGGCTATTTTTCCGTTGCTATGATAAACCCCCTGATAAAGAGTAACATAAGGAGAAAGGTTCAAAGTACAACCCATGGGGGCAGGAGGGCTTGAGGAGGCCGCTGGTCACTTTGCCATCTACAGTCAGGAAGCAGAGGAGCACGAACACTTGTGCTTAACTTTCTCTATCTATACAGTCCACGGTCCCCCATCGTGGGTGGGCCTTCCCAGGTCAGTTAACCTAACCAGGACAATCTGTGCACAGGCACGGCCAGAAGCCAACCTAACCTAGATGATCGCCACAGGGTGTGCCAAAAGCTCATTTCCTAGGTGATTCCAGATTCTATCAAGTTGACCATATTAACCATCGATGTGGTAATGGAAACCAAGCATAGAGGCAGACAGGAAGATCTCTGAGTTCAAGCCAGCCTTGTCTACACAGATAGACCCTAACCCTTCTCCCTAAGACCTAGGGGTCCAGACCCCTGCCTCCTCATCAGACCCAGAGGTCCAGTGTTAGACCCCCTCCCTCAGACCCATGAATCCGGACTCCCGTCCCTCGGGCATAGGGAATCCTCGCCTTTCTGCCCTAGCATCCCTTCTTGGGCCCTGCCCATCACAGAACAGATCCGCTTCTAGTTACACCAGGCCCGTGCTTTGCTATAAGTCTGTTAGTCTGCACTGGTCCAGCCTCCCGCGCTGCGGCTGCGACCCCTGCTGTGCTGGGGGGGGGGGGGGGCCTTTAACCGTACGGCGGCCTCTGCCTCGGGATCTTGCTCCCCTGCCGTGCTGCCCAGTCCGCGGACTTCTGGTTCTGGCCCCGCCTACCGCCAGAGGGCCTTCCTCGTCTCGCCCCTCCTTGGGAGCTGCCTCAGAACTGCCTGACGAGAGTGACTGAAGTACCGTTCGGGTACGGCCAGCAGTCTTTTCGTCCTCTTCGCAGACAACATCTGATCAGGACTATCCTGGCGGCAACAGACGTTTATTCTTTCTGCCACCGTCAGAGCGGGATGCCCGGCTCAGGCGCGACTGTAGGCAGCCTCGGGGCGGAACCTAAGGGACGCTGGAGGTGGGGCCCTGCGGACGCGGCGGGCGGGACGGACAGGCGGCGCGCGCTATAAAATGAGCCACGCGGCCCTGCCGCGCTCTTGCGGAGAGCGAGTGTGAGGCGAGGTCGGCCCCGGTGAGTCTTGTCGAGGGTCCCTTGGCGCCTTCCGATGTGTGGTACTTCTTTGCCCCCTGGGAAGCGCGTGTCCCGCGACGTCCGTGGTCTCGTTGCGGGTGTGCCTGTCGCGTGGACGGGCGCAAGAAGTGCTGCTTGGGGCCGCGGGCGCCCTCGGGTTGGAACCGGGGTGTCCTCTGAAGGGGCGGATGCGGGCACTTTCGGGACGATGCCTTCCGCCAGGTGTGTGGAGCTTGGGATGCCGGGACGGGCTTTCCTTTGTCTGTGCCTTGGTCGAGCTACGCCATTTCTGCTGCTCACGTCGCGGGTCTTGTCCGCCATCTTACCCGATTTTAGGTGACAGGGAGGGGTGTGTGCGTGACAGAATTTTGCCTCCCAGTGACGGCCCCGTGCTACCTGCAGGTTCTCTCCGTAGGAAATCTCTACCACTGCCCCTCCCCCGTGTGGGATTTTGACATTTTTGTGCAACCTAGAACACATGAGGGCTGGAGGAGGATGGGGTGTAGGGGCAGATACAAGATACGGAGTTACCGAGGCGGAAGTGAGTGCACGTGGAGGACTGGATTGCTTCGGAGCGGCAGGTAGGAGTAGACAGGGCCAGGGAAGTCAGGCCTTTGTTCACCTGCAAGGACACTAAGACAGGGGCTACAGGATACCTGAATACCTAATGGTTTTGTTGTTGAGCCTAACGGTACAAACATGTCATCCCAGCTACTCGAATTTTGAAAGTAAATTACATATTTCACCCAAAATATTTTAACCACACACTGGCCTCTGAAACAGCCCATTTTCTGCCTACTGGCCAGTGTCATTATCACACTTGATTAGACTTTGTCTTCCTGGTATCGTGCTGTTCTCTTTGTGTTCATTGCTAAGTCATCTCCCAGATGCCTTTCTCAGGACAGTTCAAATCTCTGAGTAAGATTTCTTGGACTTGTTTATATCACTTATATCTTATTGGGGTTTGGTTTATTTCCTTCCTAAAACAGCCACCAGTTTCCTCCCATCATGTTCTTCGGAGGGATTTGTACCCTCCTAGGTTTTGTTTTTCGAGGTTACTAGCAGACAAGAGCATCATGTTGTGAGTCCATAGGGAATCAATAGATCTGTGACACTGAGTAGTTGGAGCATGTGGTGGATTTCGTGTGTACCAGTCTTTATATTGTCTTGGTTTGGGCACCATTTCTGAAGGCAAGTAGCCTTGTCATTGCATGAGGCTCCCATGATGTTTAGCACTGGGCTCCGAACATCCTTGAGGACACAGTGCCCCTTCAGGACCTTTGACACCTGGAGGTCTGAGGAGCTCTAAATTTGATGTTGTGCACCTGTGGCCTGTACCCACAAAAACCCTCATCAAGTCTTATATTACAGGTGTATCTTGAAGCCAAGAAGCCATCCATCAACATCCTAATGTGGTGAGAACCTTTACTTTTCGATCTACCCACGCTCAAAATAGTGTGCCTTCCTCTTAGGTGACTTTCTATAATTTGGAATTTAGTGAACCAGCAATTATAGGGTGTTACATATTAAAATTCTCACTTAATGGAATCAGTCAGCTGGTTGGTAAAAGATTCCAGACCCATTGTTCATAACTCCATATGAGTCAGTAAGCCAGCTCACTTAAACCTGGTGCTGACTGGAGCACACGCATCAAGGGCAGGTGCCTAAATCCTCTGTACTGTTACATAAGAGTGGCAGTAATTCTGCCTTTTAGGGGTAAAGTACAGAAAGGACCTAATTTTCAAACTCAGTAGAGAGAATGGCTCTCAGCATTATCACCTACCCACTGGATTTGTGGACTGTGTACAATGACCCTTTAAGAATTCCTTAGGTCCTAGCAAGTTAATTTGTACATAAAAATGGTAACTTTTAAAAAAGAACCTTGAATTTACATGGGAGCCATTATTAAAATAACAAGACTTACCAGAAAGCAGCAATGTGTGTTACCTGAAAAAGAACAAGTCTCAGTTCTAGGAGATTTTCTCCTTGTTTCTTGGATGTTGGGAACAGGGAGAACAATAGCTGCATTGTTTTCCATCCAACCATACTGGGCGTGGGCTAATAACAAAGTGTCCTGCATGGCACTGAAGTCTCTAGACTGGACAAAGATGTGAGGACTGAAAAAAAAAAAAAAAGGGAGACTTCTGGTAGCTGGATAGGAAGACCTGTAGCCTGTGTCCATGTTCCACTCAGTCAGAATGAAACAGGCAAGACAGAAATGTGCCTGTTGTCTGCCCTACGACCACTGGTTATACGGGCCTTATAAGCACCTGAAATGGGGTGAGTGTTGCTGGGCCTGAATTTTTCATTCTTATGTGGCTACATCTTTGGACACTCAATTCTGCACAAAATTGAAGCTTATGGTTGCTAAATAATTGTGAACACTTGTGTGATCATGGTAGAATAGGATGACTGAGTTCAAGGCCAGCATGAGCTACATAGCAAGACTTGGGTGAAGAAGAGGACAGTATTGGGGGGAATATGAGTTCACCAAATTCCACCAGGGTCCTAGGCAGGTATCAGTTCTGTGGCCCAGAATGCTCTGGCAAAGTTGTCATTTCTCCTAAGTTGCAATGCAGTGTGGAACAGTAATGTTGGTCTCAAGCCCGTGTGGGTTAAAAAGTTGGTTTAGGGAGAAACAGGCCTGCAAGGGCATAAGCCATTTAGGATGTTCACTATATCCTGGGAAATCTAAACAGGCCTGTGGCCATGAGACCAGGACCAGCCTCTGTGAGTGAGTGACTGAGTGAGTAAGATGGGGTCTGTCTATATACGTCTGTACGCCTTTACCTTGGGAGGTAGAGGCATGTTGAGAGTGTGAAGGCCAACTTTAGCCACATAGACTGTCACAAGCAAGTAAAGGGGGAAGTGCAGCAGACCCGCAAGGGGACTGAGTTCTCCAAAACCAAGTGTCAGCCATATTTTTGCCTGGATTTCTGAGCAATGGGCTACACTGTCCCCCTTGGGACTTCAAGTGGCCCTAGGAACTAATTAAGGGAGGGCATGAATATTACCAGGACCCCTGTGATGTCCAGCACTGGGCTCTGACCATCCTGAGGACATGGTGCCCCCAGGTACCTTTGACACCCTGGGGTCTGAGGGGCCCTGGCTACAAAGGCAGTGGTGGAGAAGTCTTTATGAGTCTTAATAGTCTCACTGGCCTCTTTCCCCTCTCCCTTCTGCCAACAGACAGGCGGTTCTTCAGATAGCCAGGCTTCCCTCCAGGTAAGTAGAAGGGCTTCCTGAGGTAGGGTGCTAGCACAGACAGCTCAGTGCTTTTTAAGCACTATGACCCTGTGCTGTAAGAGATCCTATTAGTGTCTATGCTGGGGGACCCCTATGATGTCCAGCACTGGGCTCTGATCACCCTGAGGATGTGGAGCTCCCCAGGACCTTTGACACCTGTGGGTCTGAGGGGTCCTGACTACAAGGGAGTGGATGGAGAAGTTGTCTTCATGAGTCTCACCAGTCTCTTTCCCCTCTCCTCCCTGCCTGCAGGTGGTCCTGCAGACAACCCACTTCTCTCCGGTAAGAGCAAAGGGGTTATTCTGAGGTGGGGGGTTCTTACCACCAATCACATGAACTGACTTCAGACAAGCATGGGTGAAGAAGCTAGACCAGGTCGCTATGAGATACTCTGTCGTGTCACTCTTGGGAACCCCCATGATGTTCAGCACTGGGCTCTGACCACCCTGATGACATGCTGCGCTCCCTGGGACCTTTGACATCCAGGGATCTGAGGGGTTTCCATTCTAGGGGGATGCTGAGTGGGAGTGTGGTCATTTGTCACCTACCAGCATCTGTGTCTTTTTGCAGCCTCTGCAGCACCATTGCTTCTAGCCCTCTTTCTGTCTTGCCTTGAGCCTATCAGGGCCATGGCAGAAAGAGTGCTGGTGCCCACCCAGATAGGCCGGGGGGACCGCTACTACACGTACACGGAGCTGTTGGCTATCTCACGACGTTTCAAGCAGAATCCCAATGAGCTCATGGTCACCTGGATCCTGCGGGTATATGACCAGGGAGGCTCTGCCCTGTCCCTAAATTCTGGAGAGCTGGGTCTGCTGGGTGACCTCACCCATGATGCCATCTTTAACTACCGTTGCAAGGCCCTGCGAGGGGCTGGCTGCCAGACACTGCTGAGCTGGCTGCTGCAGGCCTGGCGCCAGCGCTGGGAGTCCTCCCTGCATTTTGAGGCCACTGAACTGCCCTTCAGGCCTTGGACTACCATGGAGGAAGGAATCCAGCTGGTGCGTGAACTGGGCATGATTGAGTGGATCTACCTTGACCCAGAGGGGCCTGTGGACCTGGCCCCAGAGGATGTGGCCTTTACTCAGGGGCTGCAGCGGCGCCTGCTCACAGCGGCACCCTCTGAGTTACGGCTCTCGTTGGTTAGCCTGCTGGTGCGTGGCATGACAGTATTAGAGGCTGTGATGGAAATCCAGACCATTGCTGATGTGGGCCTGCTGTGGCGCCAGAGCCATCCAGGCCGCACCAAGCTCATGCTGGGGCCTAACCCAACTCGAAAGGACCTCCTAGGCTGGCTTCTCAGCCACGGTGTGCCCCGGGAGCAGGTGGACAGGCAGCCCACCAAGGTGCTTCTGGAACTGTACATCAAAGAAGCCAAGCGCAGTCGTGGCCACCCCAATTATGGGCTAGCTGAGGAGCAGCCTCCACCACCCCCTTACTCCGACCAGGCCTGTGGAGAAGAGCCACCAGTGCGTCATGACTAGTCCTGGACTGACTTCAAGAGGACACTTGCACCCCAGGATTGAAGGTGGGAAGGTGAATTGCACAGAGGCTGCCGGCAACCTAGGCTACTAGGAAACAGTTTGGCAAGCACCTTCCCCACCTCCCCATCCCTCCAGTACTTAGTGCCAAGTTCCGTGGCCCCAAAGAGGAGTGTGCATGTCCCCAGCCACAGTCCATGTGGGAAATGAGCCACATGTGGCCATTTGCTGTGAGTCTAGGGTGCTTATGGCCCTGGAGTGTAACCCCTTGAATTGGAGCATAAGGCCGTGCTGAGGTGGGTGGCCACATCGGGGTCCCCACCCCTCTGCCTCCATTCGGGCCCCAAAGCACTACATACAGGCCATCTTGAATTTTTTACTTTTTCAATGCAACACTTACATAGTATTTTAGGTATAGGCCCCATTTCCATGGACTTTTACGGGATGTTTGACACTTAGGGACAGTCTCCCTATTGTAAAGGCTTAACATTGTAAACTTTTCTAATGCAGCATTTTTACTTTATATTTTATTTTGAGCTTATGTGACATTTTGGTTTTGGGGAGAAGAAAGCCCCCTTTTGTAAAAACTTTTCTTTGGGGACCCTGTCCCTGTTTTCTTTTAACCATGCCCTTCCCTTTTGAAGCACCTTCCAGCTGGGACTGGTTTTCCTGGCTGCACACATGGCCCCTGGCCAGTGTAGATCTGGGTTTAGTGGAGGGGCGAGGTGGGCAGCCCTGGAGCTTCTGCCTTTGTGAGTTCCTATTAAATGGCTGATTCATTGCCCTCTTTGGGGTGTGCTGTTTGACTTGGTCCCGTCGTGGGTAGGATCGGAGTGATGAGCTGGGTCCAGGGCAGGTGAGGCACAGGCGTACTTGCCCACCTCTGGCCTGTTTCCAGAGGATACTCCAGCGGCCTGGTGAGGAAAGGTGGGCTGGTGGGAGCCAGTCATAGCCACCAGCTGGCCTTAGCCCCTACCCCTCGTAGCCTGGTTTTCGTTTGGGGTTGTTTCTTATAAACCAGGCCCTCTAGTTCAGGCTGTCCTAGGATTCCAAGGTATGCTCCTTACCTCCCTCGGGAACTTAGATCTTGATGTGCCTCCCCCAGGTGGTAAACTAGCCACCTCTCAAGACAGGGAACACCCTCTGGCTTTCCCCGTGTCAACTGAGGCCTCCAGGGAGTGATGTATGCACAAGGCAATGGGTGTGGGGCTCCGGGTGATGCCAATGACATACATGGTGGTTGCTCTGTAGGAGGGTGGGTTCCTGGAGGGCCCTGCGTATAGACTCATCACCAGGTCCTTTAAGAACTTCCCACTTCAGGGAGGGCTTAGGATGGTGGTGAGCATGGAGCTTCCAGAAGATACTGGTTACTTAACCACTCTGGGAGAGCCCCTATCCCTGTTTGGCCATCAGTAGGAGGTAAACCAGTCCTGAGTGTTCTCCAGCTACAGGTTCCCACCTGCACACATGCTAATTGTGGGCCCTGTCACCTGTATGTATAGCACCTGAGTGTAGGTGAGTGTCCAAGCAAGCACAATGCCTGGGACCCTCCCAGCCTTCATCCCCACACGCGCGAGCACAGTAAGTGACAAGCCAGAGCAGCAGGTGAGCACACGTGTTGGGATCCAGTGTCAGCTCAGGGGGTGCTTTTGTGTCTATCTGTTCCCCCTCCCTCACACGGCCCCTCCCAGGGCCCGCAGGCAGCTGGGCCTCCAGGCCAATAGGCCAAGCCCCAGGCTCAGCACAGCCAGCACAGCCACAGCTCCGGCCAGCAGGGGCACCGTGGCTGCAGGAAGAATATGGGGGTTGTGAATCCCAGGCCTTGGGAATGCCCCACTCCCACCCCTGCGCAGAGGACTGTCACCTGGGGGGCTGGCAGGCTCATAGGAACCATGGCAGGGGGCCCCATGAGCTGGAGGCCGGGCTGGAGCAGTCAGCTGCTGGAAGCGCCCAAGTGGACAGGGAGCTGGGCACCCAGGGACCCTGAGCGGCAGGGGTGGGCGGGAGGTGTCATTTCGGTAGATGAGAGAGATGGTGACATTCCTGGAGGTGGAGAGGACAACAGCATCGCTCATTGTCCCCTCTTAAGAGCCCATCCCACCCAATGCCAAGCCATCACCCATCCTCACTCTCCATCTTCCTCCTCAGGGTCCCTGGAGCTCCCCCGGAATTCAAAGGCCATGCAGGCAGCATAAGGTGGGGTGTTCCCATCGTAGAGGCCCAGGGCCCCCTGGAGGGCCAGCAGGGTGCTGTCATGCTGCAGAGAATTCCAGCGGTGGGTAGGGGCTGAATCAGGACCCCAGATGACCCCCTCCTTAGAAATAACCCTACGCCATTCCCATCCACACCATAGGCATTCTATGATTGTCCAGACGTGCAAATTGTGGCCAGCCAGTTTCATTCAACAGTCCTTGGAGGGGTACTAAAGCGTTCCTCCTCTGACCCCCTTCCCTGTCTTTACTGTGTTTCTAGTGATGCAGTCTCAAATACTGTAGGAGATAAGGATGACAGGCATTGGACAGAGCACGTGGGGACTCTGGTCTTCCCACCACCTCTGTCACCATGTAGCAATGCCTGCCCTTCCCAAGGACTCACAGCTGAATACATGACCATTTTGAGGGGTAGCCCCAGGCGCTGGGCCCGTGAGAAATTGCTGAGGATGGCGTCTAGCAGAATCCCTGAAGGATAGGAGCAGAGTGTTTAGAAGCCCCTTCCCCACCTGAAGAACAGTTTCCTCACCCCGCGGACCCCACGCCTTACCCCCAGTCAGCTGGGCCTTTTCTGCTGCTCGGGGTGGGCCCACATGTGCCCTGATATCCAGAGCTGAAATCTGTGACAGAGTCCTCAGCACATCTGGGGAGGCCCAGGATGGAAGGGTCAGACCATGGGCACGCTGGAGAGAGGAGGAGGAGAAAGGGCCTGGAGAGGGAATCTCCAGCCACCACCCCACCCATTTGACTTGTGTGTGCGTGTGTGCCATGTATGTACACAGGTTAGGTTACCTACAGATGTTCCTCAAGCCTGGCCCACCCAGTTTGAGAGTCTCAGTGGCCTGGAACTCGCCATCTAGACCCGCCTGGCTGGCCACTACACCCCGGGGACCCTCCTGTCAAGGTCTCCTCAGCACCAGGATTTAGGTGTGAGCTGCTGCATCCAGCCTTTTCATGTAAGTGCTGTCCCCTAATCATGCTTGTACGCAGCACTTCGCTGACAGCCAACCCTGGCCCTCATTCAGACCCCTTAAAGCTCAGCTCACTGCTGTATGGGCCAGAGCCAGTACCAGACCAGGGTCCTCACCAAGCCCTTTGGGGCCAGAGATGACTCGGAATCTGACTTTTGGGATTCTAGAAAGATCCAGTAAGATGGTGCCAGGAAAGGGGTATCTATTCTACGCCACCATCCTACCCGCCTGTCACTGCTCTCACCATGCAGATGGGAGACCAGGTATGCAGGACTAAATCGCCTACCCTGATACACGGGCCAAGTGCAAATTTGAAATCCCCAGCTGTGAGGGAGAAGGGGAAGGGAGGTCTCACCTGGCAGATCAGGGTATCCAGAACTTTCCATGCTCTGCGGAGTGGCTCTCCAACCAGGGACAGTCCAGTGAAGTTGCCCAGGCGGGTCAGGAAGTCCTGGATGGAGATGCAGGACTGGGTGAATCCTGGACTAACCCCAATCATCGCTTGGCACTCAGCCCCACCAACCCACCCCAGCACTCACCGTCCAGCCTTCCAGGGCCTCCTGGTAGTCAGCTGCCTCTGTGGACTCCCGCAGTAACTCATGGTACCGAGGACAGCTGCGCATGGGGAACCTCAGCAACTGGGAGAAAGCAAGGCTCAGGGAAGACAGCAGCAAGTCTGGGGGCTCACAGTTGCCCATGGGGCCAGAACCTCTGGCCCTTGCCTCTCCCCCAGTTTCCCCTGTATGCAGCTGTGCTGGACAGGTGGCAGCTTGCCCACTCTGGACAGCTCCTCTAGGGACAGTCCGCTGTTCTGGGCTCCCAGAAATGGATCCACATTTCTGGGAGCTGCTTCTACCCCTCTCCAGCTCAGTATTAGGCTTTGTTTCCATCCTTTTTTGTATATGTGTGGTGCTGGTTATGGAACCCAGGACTTTGGATAATCTATGCAATTCCTCGACCTCTAAACCATACTCTAGTTCCTTACTGGGTCATTCTAGGCAGGTGTTTTATCACTGAGCCACACTCCCAGCCCTTCCCCACTGGGGGCTCTACCCCCGGTCCCCTTGTTACACTTTTCATTTTGAGAAAGGCTCACTATGAACTCAGAATGAACTTGAACTCAATATTCTTCTGTCTCCCACCAGATCCAGCCCCCTGACCTTGTCCTCAGACACAGGCACTGTGTGCACTGGAATGGGCTTCCAGTCAGCCTCAGGACTTCCAGGGGCAGCCTCAGGGAACAGCCCAGCCAGGTTGGCCTGTGCACTCTCCAGTGTCCGGTCAAAGTCTGTGCTGCGGATATACACCTGGGGTAGATGAGGGCAGCAGAGGGGGTGGACAGGCCAAGGGTCAGCAGTGTCCCAAATCAAAAGCATCAGACTTAGTTTGGGGTAGGTTAGGTTAAAGATAAGAAAAAGGAATCAAAGGTCAAGCACTGAGGGTCAAAACTCAAATTCAAGTGTCTGGTTTTCAACTTTGGAAATTGGGATTGAGGGTCAGAGGTCAGAGCTGGGTGATGTGTTGGGCTGTAAATGTCTGCTGAGATCTTGAGAGTTAAAGGAAGGTTAGATCAAGGGGATTGGAGGTCAGAGGTCAAGATGTAGAAGGTGGGAACTTGGTGAATTACATGGAGCTAAAATTCAGTACACAGTCCTCAGAGGAGTTGGGTCAGAAGCCAGGAGGACTTGGACAAAGGATGTCAGAAGACAGAAAAGGGAGGTCAAAATTGAAGATAGAGATGGAGGTTGTAACTGGCGGGTGTTGCTCAGTGAAGGAGGGCTTGCCAAGCATGTGTAGTCCTTCCCAAGAAACATCAGGAGGCTAAAGCAAGAATCAAAGATGGAATCAGGTTCAAAGGTCAGAAGGTCAGGATGGCATGATTGAGAAGCAAGACAAAGGTTGAGGTCAGGGCAAACTGTCATATTTGAGAGACGGTCATGGGTCAGTGTGGATTCCTTACTGACTCAGAAGCCCATGGGATGCAGGTCAAGTAGATGGAGATCAAAGACCAAAGGGGCCTCTGGGGTCAAAGGTCAACAAAGTACCTCTTCACGCCGGTACTCGGGGCTCAGAAAGGCCTTGTAACGCCTTCTCAGAAATCTGCCTAGCTCCAGCTGCTGGCGGATCCCCTCCTAGGAACAAAGGCAGTGTCAGCCGATCCTCATTGCCTGTCCCCTAGCCCTCTTCCTTAACCCCTTTCCCTCCTCACCTTGGTCAGCTGGCCCAGGCCTCGAGGCCACAAGGTGGAGGCAGCTTCCTTGTGTGGATCTGTGGGGTAAGAGGCCAGTGGGGCCCGGTCGCCATGTCGGAACACCTGGGGATGTTGGAGAACCAGGTCAGGGCTGGTCTGGAAGGTAGAGCCCAGGTCAGGGGGTTGGAGGGCTTCGCACCAGAGCCACAAATAGCAGGGGCCCCTCTGGCAGGGCTTGGGGTGGCAGCAGCAACAGCAGCAGCAGCAGCAGCAAGGGTCCAGCGGTATGGCCCTGAGACCCGGGCTCAGCCATTTCCACAGAGAACAGACGCTGAGCTCAGCCTCCGTCTGTGCTGTGGCCTTACCTGCTCATTAGCCTCCGACTCAGCCCCCTGCAAGCAGCGCAGGCCCCAGCATGCTCCCCAGCACTGGGAAGGCCTGGGATTACAGACCCCCCAGGAGGTATGCATTTGGCAACTGGCATCCCTGCTCTGCTGCGGTTTCACACTCTTCTCCATCCCTCAGGGTGTCCGGTGCCAGGGCACACCGAGCCTGGAAGAATGAAGCAGAGTCCAGAATGGTGGGTTCTGCAGGCTCCTGGTCCAGTTGGTGGGGAGGGGAGCTGCTCTGGAGATTTTAGCATTACAGCTCTCCTAGCTCAGAACTATCCCGATGAAACAGCAGCTCTTAGACGATACTCAGTTGAACAGCTTATGCTTGTTGATTTGAGTGGACTAGGACTGTATAAACCTTGGGGAGTGGGAAGGGATTCCAGGATGGCTGCATATCATTGGTTGGGGCTGGGGTGCTGGTGATAAACTGATTGCATCTAGGTAGGTGCCAGGCTACTGTGCCTGGGGTTGGGAGTCACCAGGCTATATGCGCCAGAGCATGCACGGAAGCAGGGAGGGAGTGGTCCTACTCCTGCTGGTCTCTGGATGACATTTTCATCTCAAGTTTGAGATTCTCAGGGTTTGGACATATCTCTGATCTCACTCTAGCTCCATGCCTGTTTTCCCCAATCGCCCAGCCTATGTGTCCCACACTGTGCTGACAGAGAAACTAAGGCATGTCAGGCCCACTGATGTGCCTGAGGAAACGTCTAGGAAGTGGCAAGCACAAGGCGCTCCCCCCACTCCAAACTTCCCATGTTTCCTGTTCTTCCTAAAATGGCAGGATTCTCTGAGGTCCTTTTGGACTAACGTGAAGAGCCCACTTTCTTCCGACACCACATACACTTGATGAAAACCAACAGTACTCTGTAAGCAAAATACCCAGGCCAGAAGTCGGACAGACTAGGCTCAAGGCTCTCACCATTACAAGCTGTGTGACGGTAGGCAACTTACTGTACCTCTGTATGCCTTCATCTCACAGAACAGATGAGTTCAAAGTGCATTAAGCACTGAGGAACTGGTAAGCTGTACAGATGACCACATGACAAATGACCCTAAAATTTAGCAATTTATGTGTGTGTGGTTCATGTATGTGCAGGTGTGTTGATGGTCATGTGTGGAGGCCAGATGTCAGGTGTTTTGTTGTCATTGTTTGGTTATTTTTGTTGTTTTTTGAGACAGGGTTTCTCTGTGTAGCCTTGGCTGTCCTGGACTCACTTTGTAGACCAGGCTGGCCTCACGCTAACAGAACTCCACTTGCCTCTGCCTCCCAGAATGCTGGGCTTACAGGAGTGTTACTGTGCCCTGCTCTCTCCCACAAATGGTCTGTCTCCCACAAATGATCACCAAGCTTGGTGATCAGGGCTAGACCAAGCTCCAGGAAGCCCCCTGTCTCAACCTCACAAGCTCTGGGATTACAGTTAAAAGCTACCATGCCAAGATTTTTCACATGGGTGTTGGGGAGCTGAACTCAGTCTGTCGTGCTTGTGGGACAAGCATGCAGGTGAGCCACCTCCCCACCCCCAAGCTGAACATCTCCTGAGCTTTACGGGTCAAAGTGGGATGGCTTACCTTAGACCAAGTCTAGCTGCTTAATTTTTGAGAATTTGTTTGTTTCTTCACTTGTTTGTTGAGGTGGTGGTTTGAAATAAAATCTCACCATGTAGCTCTGGCTGTCCTAGAACTCACTACGTAGACCAGGCTGGCCTCAAACTCACAGAGATCTACCTGCCCCTGCATCTCAGGTGCTGGGATTGAAGGCGTGTATCACTACATTGGGCCATGATTTTATTTATTTTTATTTTATGTGTTTGTATGTATGTGTATGAAGTATCCATGGAGGCCAGAAGAGGGTGCTGAATCCACTGGAACCTGAACCTGGGGTCCTCAGGAAAAGCAGCCAAAAGGCTGGATCTTGTTCAGGACTACTAGTATTTGAACACATGCTGAGAGAGTACTGTACACTCCATCTTTAGCAACCCCCCACACACACACACACACAACACACACTTCTTAACTGTTGTAGAAAGAATTGCAGTACATTGCCCAGGCTAGCCTCGAACTCACTCTGTAACCCGGGCTGGCTAGAACTCCCAACACCCCAGCTTCAGCTTCCCAAGTGCTCAGATAACAGGCATGTACTACCTACCATGGCTCCAAAAATTCTGTTAATCCCAGCCAGGCATACCTTTAATCCCAGCACTCAGGAGGCAGAGAATAGGTACATCTCTGTGAGTTCAAGACCAGCCTGGTCTATGTAGTGAGTTCCAGGACAGCCAGAGCTACATAGTGTGAGACTGTCTCAGGGGAAAAATTTGTTAATCCCAAAGCAATACATGAGGCAGCTATAGGTGACACAAAACCACAGAACAACATGGAATGGTGACCAAATTCTATCCATTCTATCCACAGAGAGAGCAGCATCCTCTGCCTCCCAGGGTGCTCATTCCCTGTGCTGACCGCCAACCAAGCAACAGCAGAGGACCTGGGACCCCCAAGCTTTCCTGAAGGACCCAGGTCCACAGTTTGTATGACTGGCAGGAAATCAAGGTGTCCTCAGGCCACGCTCTCACTACCAGCTATGAAGGAGAACCTTCCCCCCTGCCTTTTCCAGCTCTTGGATCTATATTCCACAATTCCATTTTCAAAGCCAGCCATGTCAAAGCCAACCTTCCTTCCATGTCACATCACCACTGGGTTTTATAATCTGGTGTCCTCTGCCTCTCTCTTTGTGTATACGTGTTTATTCTTTCTCTTCATTACAGTGTATAACACTTGTCCTGTCTTACGTGGAGGTCAGAGGACAACTTGTCAGTTCTGTTCTGCCATGTGGGTTCTCGGAAATGAACTCGCTCAGTTAGGCTTGTCAACAGGATACTCACTGAACCATCTTGACAGCCCTTAATTTTTATTTTATTTATTGGCTTATTCACTTTTTAACAGGGTCTTGTGTGTCTCAGGCTGCACTTGAACTCTCTATGCACTATGTAGCTCAAGGTGACTTTGAACTCCAATCCAGACAGAAAGCAGCAGTGGACCCAAGAAATTACTCCTTCGGAGCCCAGCCTGGTGAACCCGTTAGTTTACTAGGATCACTCGCAGGATTGTGGCTCAAAGGCAGCTGTGGCAGCAGGGCCCCACAGATGGATAGTGCAAGGAAGACAGATGTGTCGCTGAAGCCTTCTGTGCACCTCCAAGGCAGCGGCCACCTGCTGCTTACATAACTTGTGAGTCTGGAGAATGCTCAGGAGTTCTGTGAGCCTCTTCAGCCAAATTCCCACCCTGGCCTGGACGAACATCTGCACCACAAACATAAGTTCTCTTCCCTGTGTGGAGGTCAGTGCCAGGGCCCAGTGTCAAATGACTTTCGTGATTGTTTTCCACCTCTTCTCATCACTCTCACTGAACCCGGAGTTTACTGATTTGCCAGCAAGCCCTAGGGATCCTCCTGTCTTCATCTCCAAGAGCCTAGGTGGTAGGCACATGTGCCATGCCTGCCTGGCCTTTTATAGGGGTGCTAGGGAATCAAACTCGGGACCTCAAACTTAAGTGGTGAGCACCTTACCTTCTGGGCTATCTCCAGCCCTTTTCCTAGGGCACATGTTTTTTTTATATTACAAGCCAAAAAATGGCTCAGACATCTTCAAGTGACTCACCTGAGGTTATTCCATCTGCAGGTGTCAGAACTGGAATTCAAGCCCACACAGACATTCCTCATGGAGGCTTCCCACCCTGTCTGTCCCCCTCAGTGTCCAGCCTGGAGAATCACTGCAAAGGGCTGGGCTTCTCCCATGGAAGAGCCCTTGTACAGCTGGCAGCAATCTGTGGGGGTGGAGGCAGTTCCACGCACACGTGTTTAGCTGCCCTCTCCCCTCTAGCTCTCATTCTAAAGTATAGAGGACAGAGTTAGGAACCTGGGTGCTCAGAGTCAAAGTGACTTGCTGTCCTTGTGGTCCAGAAGTCAGATGCTGTCTGCCCTCGTGCTTCACACTATCATGAACATCCTGCCATCTTCACAAACCGGGGACCAAATTCTAGCCTAACCCTGACTGTCGTTCCCACCCTTGCATCTGGCAGACACAAGGGTGACCTTTCGCCTGCGCTGTTGGACCCATTCTCCACACCTCAGGCACTCTCCTGCCTCAAGATACCAGAGCCAATCTGTTCCTTCCCTGCGCACAACTCCCCCATGGCTCCCCAGCACCACCAGGGGAGAAAACAGAGCTCAGTGTGGAGATCCAGGTCCAGACTGTGTACTCTCATAAGGTCTTGATGCTGGGTTTAGGTGCCACATGTGACATTCCACACCCACATACCCCTCTCTCTGATCCCCAGTGTGAATGTCTCTTCTACCCAAAATGCCCTTCCCTGGTCGCCATGGCCACCATTCTGGTCTCCCCGACAACCCCCTCCCATTCTGGAGACCTTTCCTGTCCGACTTAGAAGCCTGGAGGAGGGAAGTCGAGCATCCGTGTGGCTAGGAGCCATGGCCATGAACTTGCAGGAAGTGAGGACAGGTGAAGGGGCTGGGGCTGGGGCAGGGGCAGAGGCAAGGGAGGAGAGAGAGCTGACTCCTGACTTCCTCCCTCAGAATGTGACCTTGGCCATGGCGGTGTTCACCATCCTGGCCTCCATCTACTTCTTCAACAAGGTGAGGGGAGGACAGTAGAGGAGGGGCCTGTCTCATGTTTCTCTTCCTTTGGCTTTGTAGCTTTTTCTGTACTGAGTTGTCATGTGTCTCCATCATACTTCTATCTCTGCTCTAGGCTCAGCAGTGAAAAGGCATGATTTCCCAGTCCACCAGCCTGGCCTCCGCCTGCTCTACCATTGCTCTGGCCTCTGAGATCTAATAAATGTGACAGCATCAGACGAAGGCTCCCTGATCCCTAAGCACCCCTCTACACACACAATAGCCCTTCTC